ATTCAAGTAGCATGACTCAAAGGAAAGTGGATAGCTCGAGAAGAAAAAACTTTTCTTGAAAACTACTCGCCAGCATTATTTGAAACCCCCAGAATCACATCTGGAAGACGAAGCTGAAATTTTGGGTGAGCATGGTGAAACTGCACAGACTCTCCATGGTTTTCATGTAGTAAATCAATAACCGGTACCGTCCCAGGCAGTTTCTGATTGGTATGAGCGTTATAGGAAGTGATTTGAAAATCACTTTCCCCCAGATTGGAGGATGCGTCCGGAAGGTGCAGCGTGTAAGGGACCTCCAACATTCGGTGCAAAATTTTGAATTGACCTGCAGTGAAATTGTTCACGATGTACAGGTAGGAAGTGAAGGTCGAGGTGCAGAGGCGGACGCATATTATCACCAATATCTGTTAGTATGGGTAAGATTATTATACCATTAAACAGCCTCCCTGTAATGGACGTTTATTTTTAAAATGCTGAGATCCTTCCAGCTCACGGGATAATATAATTAAGGAGATAAGGTTATCCCGAAGGAAAATGCGTTCTTGTTAAACGGGGCCCGTGAGGATGCGCTCCAGTAAGGAAAAAGATTAATTATGATGCTCCCGGATAAAACGGCCGACGTCGCTGGCCTTGATGATTAACACAGATTTCTATATATAAACCAAGATCGCTAGCAGTTGCTGTGTGGACTGAAGGAAAATGCTCCAGAGCTTCCTTCCGCTTTACTTCATTCAGGGTTCCATCAGTTAACGTTTGGAGGCGCTGACGCGTACATTTTATAAGATATTCTAGTCGAGTCGCGCTTCCCGCTCCTCGATGGTAGGATGGACATGACACAGAGGCGGGATTCCGTACGTCAACTCGACATCTGTCAATAACGTTACCCTATTGAAAGAACACGGTTAACGATATCTAGAGCTTCGAAATTTGCGTACATAACCTTGCTACAAATCGGTCAAAATACTCCAGACCTGTTTTTTTAAAGTCTGCAGAATTTAATTTCGAGTAATATAACCGAGAATGTTACGTAATTCGAAGATCCCTAGAGAATTTAAAAGAATTTAAGAGAATTCTGAGAATTTCTATTTAAATAAGTTTATTACTTATAACGCGTAATATTTATAAAGTCAAGGTACTTAATAGCCGAAAATAGTGTTCCATTAATTTGCGATTCCTTTCATGCTTCCAATGATTTTCTTACGAGGATTGAGATTTTAGTAGTGGGGAGAATAGAAATATAATTTCTCCACTTCTATAGAAAAAGAAATTAACTTCCAATCAGCTAAAAAAAAAAAAACCAAGAAAAGAAGCAGGAATTTAAAAAAATTTACCCGGTTGCGATCACTACCCAGGCAACCCATGAAGTGGAATACACGTAAAGTAATAATCTAAATTAGGTCGATCGGTGTAGCAAACCTACATCGTCTATCACCCACCTAAAGAAATATGTAAAGGATATATATTGTGATGTATATTCCGCCCGAGGGATACCTGGGGTCACATAAGGGCCCTATGTCCCAATATTCTTTACCCCCGCCTTGGCTCGCACCCACCCCTCAGCACGAACAAGCTGATTGAAATACTGGTTGGACGCCAGGCGTCCCAAGAAGCCAAATCTTAAGGACCATTCGGTCTCCCTTTCCTAAGGGTTTGGACTCTCCCCGCGAGAGCGAAGTCGAAAAGCGAGGGCGAAGGTTTTATCCCCGGCTTCTCCAAGACCCGTCCTCCGAGAAGACTCCCGAAATGTTACCTCTGCACAAAGGGTCTCGCGACCAGGGCGAAGGGCCAGCTAGCCCAGATAATTTTGCCACCGAAGTGGCCGCGGAAAGGGGCGAGGTATGGGCACATAACTTTGTGATGCTTGTTTGTCCGGAAGGGACCTGATTTCCTTCCGATAAGTGAGAGGAAAGGTTTGCCTCGACTAATAAAGTAAAAGAAAACTCCAAATTAAAAGGTTAATAAGACTGCGATTTATTCACCCGAAATACTGATCGAATCCAAACGAAAGAGACCAAAATCAATTGAACAGAGGGCCTATGAGCCGAAACCCGACAAAAGTTCGGACAGAGAATGAAAATTCAGGAGAGTTTTTGCAATTATTATCAAGAAATGGAGAATTTAACAAATTGCCGAAAGGCAGAAACCCGATAATAATTCGGAACGAGAAGAACGCGATACGAACGCGTCGTTAAAATTTAAAGATATTGGGAGAAATTGTCGTTAAGGAAAAGTAGTTTTAAATTAAGGATAAAAGGTACAGGGATTGCAAACGCAAGGAATTAAAAGGCTATTCTACACTCGCCGGTTGATGTTAAACAAGATACAAAAACAATCGCGTCGTCGAGGGCGCGCAAGATAATTATTATATAATTTGGTCGCCTGTCAATTATAATCCTCAAAACACCTTCGGTGTACATAAATTTAGCCTAATACATTTATATTTACTCAAATAATTGCAAAAATAGCTCAAATTTCTCCCTTCCCATGAAAAGCTCAAATCATATATTTTTCCCAAATATAGTAGAACATTCATTCCATTAAAGTCTCAGCTAAAATCTTTTCGCCAAATGTCACAGTACATTTGGTTTCACACATTTGGTACGTTGTATGTACAAGAAATTTCTGCTTCCTCAAACCGAAGACAAATAGGAAAAACTATATCGAATGTTACGTCTGAGTGGGAAGAAATTAATTATCTTTTTACGAAATAGATAAACAAGATTTTATTTCACTCTGTAGTTACAACTACCCATGTAGAAATTTCAATCTTTCGCCTATGCTGACCATCGTTTTAACATNTCTCAATAGAACGAAGGAATTTGTTTTGTTTATTTTCAGGTCCGTGTTCCAGTGGGTCTGGTATAGCGACCACACCCACATCCTAGTTCTTAAAAATCCTATCTCATATAATCCTTCACTTTCATCCTCAATATTGCACGTTGCGATTGACGGCAGAATTCCAGATCCTCAAAGCCTTAACCCAGCCAATATCCGCGGCTGGATAACCTAATTTACGTGATACTAAAACCCGGAGAAATTAACTCCGGATGAAACATAAATCCGTGGTCGACTTTAGTCCGCGAAACCCATTTTTAAGCGTATTCTTTCAAGTAAGGCTGATCATCCACCTGGATTAGGTGTTCGTTTCTCGTAAGCCTTGTTAATAAACAACGGCGTTTTCCAAGCCTCCCAACAATTAGAATTTGATTCAAACGCGTCGGTAAGAATTCGACACGTGGGGAAGGGGTACTCGGAGGTCGCGTAGACGGTTGTCAATTTCCTATTTGAATTCTACCCCAAACCACCCGTTCCAAATAACCTCTACATCCCATGTGGCCATATTCCATGTCGTGAAGGATGCAGGAGTGATATTGAGGGATGAAGGATGCAGGAGTGGCGATTGTGCCAGACCTGTTGGTGTGTAAGGGTCCTGCAAAAGGAAGTACTTACTTGTGGCATTAATTCCTCGATCGAAAATTAACGAATACGATTTTCGATACCGATTCTTACGTTTGCGATCGAGTCGAATGTTCCGATTCAAGAGAGCGTTCGTCCGCCGGGCCTCGCGCTCGCGGTCCGCGGTCCCCACTCCCGCGCATGTTCGAATAGCGATGAATTACTGGTCCTAATGTACAGTGGCGCATGTTAACCACCTGACCCGTTACACACGAGTTAATGAAATAAAATATTGAACGATAAAAGTAAAATTTAAACTTACTGGTCTCGATTTCTGTTTGGTCTTCTGCCAATTTCTGAACATATATCCTGTTAATCAAGGATTTTGGTCTATTTAATTCTAATGGTCTGTTGTCTCGATCAAATTTTTTTCTCTGATGTCTTCCTTCACCTTAAACTAGCATAAAAATACATTATTTTTGGAAAAAAATATATTTCTTGTTTTCAAGACATCAAATCAAGCACTTGAATTCTATAGATTGTTTAGTTATATAAATATTAAAAATAAATTTTTCACATGAAAGTGTTTATTTCTTTTCATATATAAATTTGAACTTACAATTGGAACTGCATGCTTGTGAAGTTTAACAATACCTGACATCCTATCGAAAGCATCGTCAGGAAAGTGATCGGAGCAAAGACGGTATGTATCCCTTACAATTTCTATTTGTAAAATACGGGCCCAATTTTGCCTTTGAATTGGATCCTTTGGAAAGCTAAAATGCAGATTTACATTGTCATAGCTTATGTACGTTTACTTTTGCTTTAACATAACCTTAAAAAAATGAAGTCTGCTCTTACTTGTGGAAGGACACCTTCTTCATAAATTCCATTAATTCTAGTTTATTTCTTTTCGCCGAACCTTTACGTAAACAATAATTTTTACACGTTTTTACAATACAAGTGGGCATATTGTATGTTGCTTTCTGATTTCCCACTAATCGTTTGAACGAAATCTCAGCCAATCAGGAAGCTAAGGGTTTTGGTACTGCTCCACTTATCATACTTCTTACGTGTTCCCCCCTCGCTTCTTTAGTCACTCGCCCTTCTCATTTGTGCTCCGTCCATATATTCTTACGTTCATGAGAAATATTGCAGGAGATTAATGGCGGCTCTGGGAATAGTTAAGCTCTGCGAAGCCCATTTCAAGACGTACTCACTTGTTTCAAAATATTAAAAGATGAGCAATGATAATGGACACGAAATGAATTTTAAAATCCCATGACCGATCGAATCATTTTACCCGGTCTCTTCCTTGCGTTACAAACTTGCTGTAATTTAATTGAACGATTTCATGACACCTTTTTTTGCACTTTTCATACTTCTTTCTAAGGTCATTTAATTTTCAGAAAAATATATTGAAACGCATTTAGCCATTATCATTAATAGCAGTGTTACCCATTCGGTCGTCGCCGTAAACGAGTAATCGCCGTCTTTGCCCCCATGAATTGCTCTCTAGGTATTTAATCACGTAGATAATTCGGAGTTTTTGAAGAGAGAACAGAGAACTCCGTTTCTACCCCATCCCTATCGGTCGAGGGTCGTTATTCGTCGCTGATACTCCGAAGCAGCGTGAAGTATGAGGCTGCCGATGTCATAACCTTGAAAAAGGAAGAGCATCTAATAGTAACTGCGTTTTTTTTCTCCCGTAAATTCTGTCCCGTTGGCAGCGACGTTGATCGATCAAGGATTAATTGGAAGCGCAGGAATTAGACCAGCGTTCAATGTGAGCAAGGTGCGGGGAGGGTTAGGTTAGAAATCGGGATTATTTCAAGCGAATTATCCGTACAGGGATGATATTCTGGCGATTGTCGGCAAACATGATCATTAATCCTGGCACAGTTCCTCCCCTGTACCCAAGTACTCGTAGATAGATCATTTTTACAATTCCGATAGTTTCCCTTCACATTTGGGGACGGCGCATCTATCCTATTACCCGGCACCCCACCCTGAGACTCGGGAAAGTCGCCATCTTGGGGTCGATTTTATATGTTTGGTAAAAGTGATCACTTTTCAAACCTTCATCTCACCTAAGCTTATTCACTCGATTTTGTAATCTTCGGGAGGGTTAGAATTTGTATGTCAAATCTAGTAACAATGCTGAAAGTGAGCACCTTCCGCGAAGTTGTAATTGTCACCAAGGTGAAAGTGTGAAATATGTTAGGTAAGAATACTCGAGAAGAAATTTCGTCTTGAATTGACGAAATGTGAGAGAGAGAAAGGAACGATAAATACAACGAGAGCGGGAAAGACACAATGACAAGACCGCGATATAAAAGATGCGTACGTAGAAGACTAAAGTCAGTAGAGGTTAATATGGTCCATCTAGCCATATCGATTATACTTGATGATAAACAGGAAAAAGAAGAATGAAAAAATGAGGATAGCCAGGAGAATACCTCGGTATATGTTAGAATCATTTACGTATGAGTAATGTTAACAGTAATGTTTATTATTAACACAAATACTTTATTATATTATTATGTATCACGGTACATTAGCAGTAATAAATATTTTTTGTACGTTACGCTGTAACGTTCATTTTCATCACATCATTATGTCACACATATAAAATTGGCAACTCACCACAATTCTTTAATCGTACTGTAATGCCGTCAGTCTATAGTCATTTAGAAATGCATACATGAGAGTTTGCGAACTGCATGGTGTCAAAATGTGTCGTGGGAAGAGATCCCGACGTCCGCGATAACAGAGTCCGGTGACTATGGGAAAGAACCGTTGAGCCCAGCTCCACGGAATCAGAAACCCTCATCCCTACGGGATAACTTCATGAACTTAGAACAGTCAGTCCTATTCCGAACTCCGAGCCCGTCGGACCGTAGGTCATGCCGTGATTGTCTTGTGCATAATAAAGAACCACATCCAAATGCCAAAAAGGAGTTAACAAATTCTTCGAGGAGAACTCCAATACCCTTCGCGGCATAACAGTGGACAAATTTATTGGTGGCAGCGGCGGGATTATCACAAGTATCACGAGGAAGACCTGTGGGCGTTCCGTTCAAGGAACATCGGAAACAACTCAGTGAATGGAGAAGACGATTCGGTAAGTAAATGTCTCTTACTTCTTACCGAACCTGTCCTCCTGAAATTCATACCGACTCTGAGACATCTGACATTGAGGTGAAAGAAGACTCAGACATAAACGACGTATCGCAACAACTGCACGGTTTAACAATGGCTTGTAAAAATTCCGATGTAGTGAATCGCGACAGTCTAACCGAAGTTCATCTTCAACTTGAGGAGAAAATTAAACGTCTTGAAGAAGAGCTACATTTAACGAAAATTCGACTAACTAGTATTCAAGGACCATCAGCTCATAACTCAAACGAAGATTTACATCAAGATCATGATTCCGCCTCGATTAGAAATAGTGAAATTACACGTAGAACTCTTGTTCGGTACACTAAAGAGACTAAACAGGCTTTGGAGATGATTAGTGAATTCGATGGCTTCAATCGACCGGTTGAAAAATTCATCAATGAGAATCGCGAGATGGAACAATTAATTCCCGACAATCGTACTTATTTGAATATGATTAAAAGTCAACGCTTGAAAGGTGACGCAAAGAAACTAGTAGATCAACACGATGTAATAGATTTAGCAGATTTATTTGATATTTTGCAGACTGAATATAGCGTAGCAAAAAGTTACCACCTTCTAATTCAAGAAAGAAATAATTTATTTCAAGGCAATCGTGACGTTAGAGAATTTACGCGCAAATTTAATCTCCTTCAGCGAGATATTAAAAGAGCAATTAATCAGCGGCCCGGATTATCATCTTTGGAAAAACGTGCAGCAGAACGAGTGGAGGAATTGAGCTCAATAGACATCTATATTCAAAACTTGTCTGATAATTTAAGGAAAGATGTATTATATCAGCGACCCATTACACTTAGGGAAGCCCAACAAATCGCTTACGAGACGCAACGACGAGACGAATTACGAAATCGCCATAAGCGAGGACAATCTGTGCTGGATAAGGAAAAACAGACTCAACGCTCTAACTTATTGCAATCAAAAACGGAACGATCGCGAAGCGAAACGACCGAACAAAAGCTGTCAAAAAACCCGACCTGTTATAAATGCAATAAGCTAGGTCATTTTGCTAAAGATTGTAAGGTTGAAAATTTTCGCAAACCACAAATACCGTCAGCCCCGGATATCAAATACTTAGACTCGGAGGAAACAAATCAGGAGGAAAAATCTCAATTGCCATACGAGTGGGAAGAGGAGGAAAATTTGTCAGAAAATTCCTAATTGATACAGGCGCGAAATTAAATTTAATTAAAGAATCAGCATCAAAAATATTCAAAACTCGAGCCAACCCGAACAAATTTTACGGCGTAAATGATATTCCGATTAAAACTACTCATGAAGCCAGATTAGACATAGGAGATCGAATACATGTAATGCTCATAGTTCCTGATAATTTCCCCATAGAAGAAGATGGATTATTAGGAATGCCCTTTATGGAAATGGAAGAAGCTGACATAAATTTGAAGAAACACACTATCGAATTAACCGGAACCGTGCACCGTATTTTAAAATTAGAACGTTCTTTGAAAGGAGATCGTATAGAATTATTAAAGGGAAACACTCGTTTAGGACATTTTACTGATCAGAACGAAGTAGAAAATTTGTGGAATGTGATAAGAGATTTTGAGAATATTTTTACCTTGCCAGGTGACGAGTTGCCTGCTACTAATTTAGTAGAACATTCTATACCGGTTACCGACGAAGTTCCAGTTCATGTTAGACAGTTCAGATATCCACCGGGACATCTGGACATTATAACGGAACAAGTAGCTGAAATGAAGGAAAAGGGGATAATTCAAGATTCAACGTCTCCCTATAATTCACCATTATGGGTGGTACCAAAAAAGATGGATGCTAGTGGACAAAAGAAGTGGAGGGTCGTTGTGGATTTCCGAGGATTGAACAACAAAACTCCTCACGATACTTACCCACTACCAAATATCGAAGAGATCCTAGATCAATTGGGGCGAGCTCGTTGGTTTAGTGCGTTTGATCTAACAAGTGGATTTCACCAGATTAAAATGAAGAAAGAGGATAAACCTAAAACGGCTTTTTCAACACCGGGAGGACATTTCGAGTATGATCGTATGCCGTTCGGTTTAAAAAATGCACCTGCAACTTTCCAGAGGATGATGGATCAAGCTCTGAGAGGACTAATAGGAAAAATTTGCTTCGTATATTTAGACGACATTGTCGTATTTGCCGAGAATTTGGATACTCATCGAGATAAGTTGAAGATACTTTTTCAGCGACTTCGAGAAGTTGGCTTGAAGCTTCAGCCAGATAAATGTGAATACCTTAAACCGGAGTTACAATATTTAGGTCATCAAATAACCAAGGACGGAATAAAGCCTAATCCAGAGAAGCTAAAATCTGTTACGGCGTTTCCGCAGCCAAAAGACAAGAAGAACATCAAGCAGTTCCTTGGCCTGACTGGCCATTATCGTCGTTTTATTAAAGATTTTTCTAAGAAAGCAAAGCCACTTAATACCCTTTTTGAGGAAGGATATGAAGTTTGTTTGGACCGAGGCCCAAGAAAATGCGTTCAAGGAATTGAAACGGGAATTGGTGAGCGAAAAGGTGTTGGCGTTTCCGGATTTTCAGAAGGAATTTATTCTTGCTACGGATGCTTCTGGTGAAGCACTTGGTGCAGTGCTAGCCCAGAAAGATCCTAAGGGTTACGAAAGACCTGTAAGCTTCGCTAGTAGAACTTTGAACGACGCTGAACGGAAATACTCAACGACAGATCGCGAGATGCTTGCGATAGTTTGAAGTGTTAAACACTTTAGACCGTATTTGTACGGGAGAAGATTTAAAATAATCACGGATCATCAACCACTGAAATGGATGACTTCAACGAAGAAACCTAACGCTATGCAAATGCGTTGGAGAATTACCTTAGAAGATTATGATTATGAAATTATTTACAAAAAGGGATGTTTAAATTCGAATGCCGACGCACTAAGTCACAACCCAGTCTTGGTGACTACTACTACAAGAGCTCCATGGAAGAAGAATATTATCTTCTCGGAAGATCGACCGTCAAATAGCACATATGTCGAGTTTTCATTAGTAAGTGATTATACTTTAGATTTTGACGAAGAAACAAATTATATACGAATTATTAGCGATTCCTTTAATTTAGAGCGAATTGATTCAATATTCGAAGCTTTGAGGAATTTGGTAGTATCAGAAGAAATAAAGCAGTTAGCTATCGATTATCAAACTCTTGAAAAATTAATGTTAATCCGTAAAGCAGATTTAAAAGAAATTATTTTGAAATACTTAGGCGACCCAAGTTTAAAAATTACATTACTTTCGAAATCCCTCAAACAGCCAGAAACCGAAGTAGAGCGATTAGAAATTATGCGAAGGGCGCATGACACGTTAATAGGTGGTCATGCCGGTGTAAAAAAAACTATCGATCGTATTTTACAAACTTACAATTGGCCTGGACTATATAGGGATGTAGCTAACTATATAAATGAATGTCTAGTCTGCCAGGAGAATAAAATCACTCGACATCCAACTAGAACCCCTTTAGCTATTACAGATACACCGCGTTATTTTAATGAGAAAATTGCTATGGATATAGTAGGTCCTTTACAAGAAGATGAATATGGATACAAATATATTTTAACAGTACAGGATCAATTAACAAAATTTATTTAAGGTTACCCTTTAGCAAATCAAACAGCGGAGACTATAGCTTGGAACATTTTAAACAATTGGTTTTTGCGATATGGCCCTCCTAAAGTAATTCTTACTGACCAAGGTGCCAATTTTACGAGTCAATTAATAGGACAACTAACTGATCTGATGAAGATAGAATTAATCCATACAACAGCGTTTAGACCAGAATCCAATGGATCGTTAAAAAGAGCACATGCTGTAATTAAAGATTTCTTAAAAACTCAATTAGCAATAAATGGTGACAGAACACAATGGAGCCGGTATCTACCAGCCGCTCTTTACACTTACAATACGACAGTACACTCATCGACAGGAATTAAACCTTACGAATTAGTATTTGGTAAGGAACCTCCTCCAATGGATCAGTTATTGGATGAAGAACGACCTACCTATTGTGATTTAGTTGAAGGAATACAGAGTCACATGCGCAGATTATGGTAACGAGCTGCCAGCTCACTTGAAATGAGCAAACATAGAACAAAAAAACAATTTGACAAGACAGTAAGACCCTTAGCTTTAGAACCTGGAGATTGGGTTTGGGTTAAAAATGAAGGAAGGGTTAGACTGGCAGGACTTAGTATCCCCTGGTTAGGACCTTATTTAGTAAAAGCGGTACCTAACGAAACTAACGCTGTAGTAACCATTAGAAATAAGGATCAACTAATCCATTTGAATCGTTTGAAGTATGCTAATATGTGTTCTATTTTAGAATCCTCTGCCTAATAGGCATACTCATCAACTTTGGGATTGCTCAAAAATCAAATGATGAAGAATTTGTTCTTATTACACCCGTCAAAGAAGTTCCGAACATACATTTTGACCCGATGGGGACGACTCGTCTTTATCATCGCGAGTGGAAAACTCTGTTGTATTTGGATCTACAGGAATTCCACAAAATTGAAACTACGGTTGGCAATCTCCTCAAGAAACGAAAATTGCAACCGGACAAAACAATTGAAAGCATCTTTCTTCATATTCAAGAGCGATTCATGCGTGAGTCGAAAGAAAAACGCACCTTATTAGCCAACCTAGGTTATTTGCCTGAAAGTAGATTTAAACGAGGTTGGTTAAATCCTGTCGGCGATTTAGCAAATATATTATTTGGAACGCTCAGCCAAACGGATGCGAATTATTATAATACCGAAATCGACAAGCTTTATCAGGATAATAAAAAAATTACGAATCTGATTGAAAAGGAAACGACAATTTTTAAAGGTCTAGTTAAAGAAAATTCAAAATTCGAAGAAAAAATTATTGTATACTTGAACACCACGGAAAAGGAACGTAATAAGGTGTTGAGTCAATTAGAGTCCAATGATCATTCTTTTAGCTTTGCAGTTCAATTGAGCGAGGTAATTAATGAATACGCTGAAGCGATTAGTCACTTAAGAAATATTGTTGTAAGCGGATTAAATGGTAAGGTTGACCCAACCTTACTAGATTCCGAAGCTTTACAGCAAATTCTACGTTTAATTGAAACTAGATTCGGATCTAATAGAATGCTCTTCTCTACCACAGAGGATCAAGCACACAAATTTCTAAAGTTCTGTCAAGTTAATGTTTTCGTACTCGGTAAAACTCGGTTATGTTTCGAGTTAAAAATTCCAATTGTTGAAGAGGAATTCTACATGCTTTATCAAATGATACCCGTTCCGAAGATGTCGGATAAATATTTATATGTAATGAGTGTCACAGAGCGTTATATATTAATCGATAAGGACACAAAACATTATAGTCACTTAAATGAACAAGAAATATTTAATTGTAAAAATGTTTATGGTGTTAGACTTTGCGAAAGACATAGCCCATCATATAGCGAAACGGCACAGGATCCTTGTTTAAGTCAAGCAATTCACTCTCTACCGAGTGATAAGGAATGCTCAGTAAATGTAGTAGGTAGAACAAATCCGATTTGGGTGCAATTCTTTTCTGGCCAAGAATGGTTATCAATTGCGTATCATCCCGAAAGTTTACACGTTTCATGTCCGAATTCTAATACGGTAATTACTAAAAGAATTTCAGGAATCAATTTAGTTAAAATAAGACAAGGATGCGTAGGTCGAACTTTGTCTGTGGTATTGTTTTCGTCGGAAGAAATTTCAACTAATGAAAAATTTCATTTGGAGATGGGAATAACACATGTAAAAATCCGAGAGATAAATGATACCATATCAAAGTACGCTAGAATACCTACCCTTAGGAAACTATTGAATTCACCGATGAATTTTCAAGAAATTAGTAAACCCCTCGACGAAATTGTAAGGGAAGCAAATGAAATCTCCACGCACGTAAGACAAACCTCTAGGAGTGAAAGTCTATGGACTAGCTTTCAACTGCTAGTGGCTACTTTTGCCATACTTTTTATTATCTGGACGATTGTTAAATTCCGATTCTGGAAATTGCTATCGCATTGCCATAAGGGTATTACCTTCAATAATTGCTTCAACACCGGAGGAAATCAAGTAATGAATTCGACTATTCCGCCTGGTCGATATTTTGCAAGAGAGCGACCTGAAATACTAGTACCCTCCACGAATGATCCTGAATTAACCAGACATGAAAAAACGAAGATTAATCCAAAAGCAAAGAGAGTTCAATTGCGTCCCATAGAATAAGGAAAACTTTGTTCATTGTTAACGAACAAACTTTTTTTATAAGGAAGGGGGTGTAATGCCGTCAGTCTATAGTCATTTAGAAATGCATACATGAGAGTTTGCGAACTGCATGGTGTCAAAATGTGTCGTGGGAAGAGATCCCGACGTCCGCGNCTCTCCTAGCAACATTTTTCCTAAATTTCCCCACTCCAAGCCAATTCCTCCAACCAAAAGTCCCAAAATCCCACTCATCCCCCGAAATCCTGATTTTCCAATTCCTCTTCCAATTAGAGCCTTCCAATTCCTACTTTTACCCATTTTTGTCCATTTAACAATTTTTCCCACCACCTCTAAACAACACCTCTAAACAAGTCCCACCACCTCTAAACAAACCAATAGGGATTTGACTTTTACCCTCACCCGAATTTTGGGCCCCAAACGTCGGGGGTGGAAATCATATAAAAGCTAGTGTTTAAGCAGCGAGCGCGGGTAGAGTTGTAGAGAGTTGTTTCTTAGACACAAGAGTTGTTTCTTAGACACGAGAGTTGTTTCTTAGACACGAGAGTTGTTTCTTAGACACTCGAATAGTTCACTCGATAAAATTTCAATCTTCGAATCTACTCCAGAAATACCAAGGTATTTTAGAAATAAGCACACTCTCACACATATACTCACACACACACCTCTTACACTTGTAAACCCAAATCTTCCTTTAATAAAACCTTGTGAACCTAACAAAATCTCCCTCTTTTCTTTTCTTCCTTCCTTAAAATCCCAATAACGAAAAAGTCCGCATAGGACTTGCTGAGGGGCCCATGGACTTCTCTATTTCCTTTTCCCTTCTCCATTCCGATCATACTGAGGGCGCGGGGGCTAGGTCACGCACCCCCTTCGCCTTCTCCATTCCGATCATACTGAGGGCGCGGGGGCTAGGTCACGCACCCCCTTCGTCAATTCCTTTCAATTCCTCAATTTCTCAATTCCTTAATCGTAAGGAGGGCGCGGGGGCTAGGTCACGCACCCCCTTCCACATACGATAAAACCTATCCCCTTTTCCATTCCGATCATACTGAGGGCGCGGGGGCTAGGTCACGCACCCCCTTCTGTATTTCGGATAAAATCCCTTCTATTTCTTTTCCCTGTTGCGATCCTCCCAGACGTAACAGTGCTTACTTTTAGCATTTTAACCCGATTTCAGTTATAAAATCGATCCCCAGCAACTCCGAGATCTCGAACCGAGTTCCTTCAGTCTGGAGATTTTATATTTTCACTTGGAGAGTCAGGTGAAAAACTCACGTGAGATGACAATCCGAGAAGTGACCACTCTCACTAAAGTTACGGAATCGACCCCCTTGTGTCAAGAACGTGCAATGAGACATTATACGAACTGACCCCTGGACCTCGAGTGTCCGGAATAACCGGTACCGTTTATAATCTTCAGGTAATTTATAGCGTAAAGGAACCATTAATTATGGTGTCCTTTGACGTTGCTGGACCCCTGTAAGTTGTGTGCTTTTACGGATAAATTTCAGAATTACCGATTTGAAGGTCTCCAACGACATCGGGCCAAACCTGCCGAGAGTGACATAGCAGGCCCTCTTTGCTCGCACTAGCAGCATGACTAGTTCTATCCTCAAAGCCTTTCCCTCTTTGTCGTAAGACAGAAAATGCCAGTCGGCGTCGTAGGCCGCATCGGCGATCGCCAAGCTCTGGACGATGATATCGTTGCTAGACCAAGTTATCATGAAAAGTTCGGAGATAGAGAGTGAAACAAGCATGACGTTCAGCTTCTTGCGCAGCTGAGTCTCCGCTCCCTTAAAGTAAAATCAAGTCACAGGGACAGTTCTTCATCATGGGGGTCAAGATTTGTGGAGGGTACGAATTTCCAGGTACTTGCCAGGAACAGCTGGAACCCGCTAAAGCATATCAACACGGCGGACCCAATCCCCTGCATGAGGATGATATAGCAGCACATGTTCTCCACCTCCTGCATGAACCAGATCAAAAGTTTATGCTGTTTTACGCATTCCTTGAATTTATAGTGAGCCTCGGCAGCGTGCTGGGATGGATTTCTGTCCTTTAAATCGAAACGTGGCGTGCACGTCAGCTGCAATCTTTTTTGAACAATTTTAAACTGCCCGGCTGTGTGGAGGTTGATGGTGTTGATGAAGTTTGCGAAGGAGAACGCGGTTGCCGCGGTTAGTATCACCGAAAATGCCTGAAGATTCGTTAAAAAATATTAATCCTTTGACTCCGATCCCGTTAAGTTTAAGATGCACCCATGTACCTGCAGGATATACGTAATTTCAAAGTAGGGCGTTTCTTCATATGGGACAATCTTGATCCACATCCTGAGGGGGAGTACCTTCGTCTTGTTCTCGCTCATATTTTCTGTCGACAATAATTATCAAAGAGTGGCTCCATCTTGGTCGTTAACCCGTTCATCTTACCTATTAACGGAGTTACCACATAGTTGCAGGCAGATCCGACCACCCCCATTATGTAACAACTGGCGAACAAGATGCACCTTTTTTCGCTATCCCTGACGATACTCACGACGTCCTTGTCCTGCATGGACTTGGAGATGATGCCGTTCATGAATTCGATTATCTCGAGAACTTTGCGCCGCTGGCTCAGGAAAATAATAATTTTCCCGGTGGAGAGAAAGATCGGGCAGGTTGCGCAAACGCTCTGTGTAACAGCCTGCAAATCCTTCCTGTAGTTATCGATATGCACATGATGAAGTCCGGCAAATTTGCGTTGGCGCTTACGTGAATATCCCCCAAAGAATGATAAAGATCGACGCTTGTCACAAGTATAGCGACGAACATTGTACAGCTCGTGAAAATGAGAGGCAAGTTAACAAAACTTTTTCCCTCGCCATCGCTCGCACTCAACAAACCGAGGGCTCTTAAAGAAAGTACTAATAGCCTAAGGGACGTCACGCGATCTACTTGCGACGACATGCGACCGGATTTTGATTACCGGTGCCGCTTCATCAGAACCCTGCCTTTTTTTTCAACGACGGTAATAACTGTTATACAGCTAATGATGGGTGTAGTTAGACCTTATATACTGATCCTTGATCGATAAGACTGCATTTACGTCGCACGAGACAACTACATTCCATTACCTCCACTTGACCATAGTTATCTTGCACCTGGATCAATGCCAATTCATTTCTGGTCCCACGCATTCAGGTGAGAGGATCTTAATTTCCGATCAGTGTTTCTGCTCGGATCGTTTTTTACGACGAAAAGCGTGCTAGCGCTTCCAACAGTATGTCAATTTCGTTTGCGTCTAATTTGTAATTATTACTGTGAGTTCTTTCTCCGATAGAGAATGTACTTCGAACACGATGTTCATCGTACTCCCTGTTAATGGTCCACCGATTTTGATTCGTTCACTTGGCGTAGGACCATGAAGTATGACACTGCCATGCTCAGGATGTGGAAGTCGAATGTCAAGGGTAATCTTTATTTTCTACCCTGTTTGATATTTTTGTCATTAAAAATTATTCCTAAAGATTTGAAGGTATCCATCCACATGGAGCAGAACTCGCCGACGGTCAGGATGTAGGGGTGACGAGCTGTGCAGACCAAGATGAGCAATCCTTGCCTAAATGCTTTCCGCTTCTGTCCCAGGGTAAAGAGTACCACCTCCTACCATTTGAGAATTGCATAAGTCACAGCTATGCTACTGATTATAATTTCGTCGCAGAACGACGCAAACATGAATATCTGCAGGATCCTCTTGGTGCAATACTCGATGTTGAGACGCTGAGAATAGTCACGGACCTGGAGGCCGTTCCCTACAAGCAAGAACGCTTGATTGGGAATCAATTCAAGTAGCATGACTCAAAGGAAACTGGATAGCTCGAGAAGAGAAAACTTTTCTTGAAAACTACTCGCCAGCATTATTTGAAACCCCCAGAAGCACATCTGGAAGACGAAGCTGAAATTTTGGGTGAGCATGGTGAAACTGTACAGACTCTCCATGGTTTTTATGTAGTAAATCAATAACCGGTACCGTCCCAGGCAGTTTCCGAGATTGGTACGAGCGTCATAGGAAGTGATTTGAAAATCACTTTCCCCTAGATTGGAGGATGCGTCCGGAAGGTGCAGAGTGTAAGAGACCTCCAACATTTGGTGCAAAATTTTGAATTGACCTGCAGTGAAATTGTTCACGATGTACACGTAGAAAGTGAAGGTCGAGGTGCAGAGGCAGACGCATATTATCTCCAATATCTGTTAGTATGGGTAAGATTATTATACCATTAAACAGCCTCCCTGTAATGGACGTTTATTTTTAAAATGCTGAGATCCTCCCAACTCACGGGATAATATAATTAAGAAGATAAGGTTATCCCGAAGGAAAATGCGTTCTTGTTAAACGGGGCCCGTAAGGATGCGCTCCAGTAAGGAAGAAGATCCCACCAAAAACACCTTTGGTGTAAAAAAAAAGACAAGTTCATTGCCTGATGTCATTTCACCTTCCTGAATCACTACGAACATTCCTACAAAGAATCAGCAGCCACTATCTTATTATTAATTAAAAAAAAAGTAGAACGCATCTTCTGAAGTAGCAGTAGGAATCACTTTATTTTTACAAAAAAAGACCAAGAAATTATTTTTCATGTTTAACCTACTAAAGTTATGAAATCAACCGTTGCGGACAAGTTTAGACAATTTGA